TGTGTAAAATAAATGCAATTTTCATCATTACACTATGAAATATTTTTTCTTACACTATTGTTCACTCAAGGCAAGGCCAAAGAACCACTCAAAGTAGAGGGTTATGGAAAAAATTTAGATTATGACGATACGTAGAAGAGATAAGTTATCACTTAAAGAAGTTAAGGTTGTAGTGATCTGAGAAGAATCGTTTTGGGAGTGTGTTCTACAAAGCAGTGGCTCTTAGAAAGAATACGTCTAAATGGAACTTCCTTCTCACCAATTGAATATGAAGGAAAAGAGGATGGTTTGTCCATGGCTGTAAATGTCTGAACTTGTGGAACTAGGGAATGTAGCTTGTCAGACTATTTTCTATGGAAATAGTGATAGTGAGAGTTATGCATTTGTGGGGAAAGAGTCATAGAGTGAAAAATAGTTAATCTCTAAGGCTGGTTAAATGCTTTTAAACACTGGGAAGAGAGGGTTGAGCAGCTCAAGCCCAGATATGGCATCAATACTCCTTTTGGTCTAATCTGAGTCTGGCAGGTGGAGTACTTTGAACAGTATAAGATGACCATTTCTCTATCATCTATAGTGATGGATCGTATAGGTGGTTTAACTTATCTATTTATTGACTTACCTATTTATATGGAACACATCTGTTCATCATGGTGATATTTCTTGTTATTATAGCTTCTCCCTTCATAAAGAATTTATTTTATTTTACTTTTTGTCTTTCGTTCATTGTTTCATATTTGGTAAATAAGATATTGAAAAATATGATAAACAAAAGATAAAAATTTCAAGAAAAAAAATTTAAACAAAAAACAAACAAAAAGAAGCCATTTTGGTTGATACTTTTTTTTCTTTTTTTTTTTTTCTTTTTTTTCTTACTAAAACTCACCTTGGATTTTTTTTTTTTTTTTTTTTTTTTTTTTTTTTTTTTTTTTTTTTTTTTTTTTTTTTTTTTTTTTTTTTTTTTTTTTTTTTTTCCTCAGCTGTCTGAATAAACTTTGGAAAGAAAATGTTTTCTTTCCTAAAATTTGACTTTCTCAAAATGATACTGAAATCTTTTTTTTTTTTTGCTTTCAAGAACAGCAAATATCATGAATATGCAGCTAAATATTCATAAAATCATTCATATTTGCTTGATTGATAATTCAATTAATAATTACACATAAGGATGCTTTTTGTATTTGCTCATTCAGAGGATAACTCTGAGAATCAAGCTCTGACTCCATTGGCTGGTTTGATCTGATAGAGGAACTGTATTGATCAACAAAATCCTATATATCTAAAAAAAAAAAAAACCCTAAAACCAACATTTTGAACCTCATTGGGAATTTGACAAAAAAAATGAGAACCCCAATCTAGTTAATCTTTTCTTAGATTTGGCTTTGTACGTATACAAACTCAGATGTGAAGAAATGGGCCTAAAATATTCAGGAAGGGACAACTCAACACCAGAAAAACGTAACCTTCTTATAACCAAATGAAAGTAATTTATTAAGGATTAAAATCTTAATTAGTGAATATTTTTCTTCAAATAAGGCATTTGAAAAGGCATTTATGTAAAATATGAACCACATCTTGTTTCCAGTTATTTTTATTAAAGTAAATTGTAAATTATTAAATTATTTTTTATAAAAAAATTAATTACACTATAATTTACTTTATTAAAAAATAATTAAAAACAAGTGTGTTTTATTGAATTATTTTTTACATGTCAATTTACTTTATTAAAAACAAAAAACTGTTGTATATTTTACATATATTGCCTTTTCAAATGCTTTATTTGAAAAATATTCACTAATTAAGGTTTTAATTCTTAATAAATTATTTTTATTTGGTCATAAAAACAAAAATTGTGTTTTCTGCTCTTGAGTTATCCTGGCACTCGGTCAGCGGTATTGAGTTGTCATGCACCCTAAAATTGCACCACATTCCAAATGAACCTATTAATAAAAAAAAAAAAAATGAGCATTGTCATTTTACTTCTGGAAGTGAATGTAATGATAGAGGGAAGGCTATGCTGATGACAGTTGTTCATAGTCAGTATAAGGATGATTTTGAACAAGACATTCTTTCACAAGTGTTCCAAAAAGTAGGAGTTAAGATAAACCTTTCTCAAACATTTGAATGAAAGCCGTTATAGCATATACTATGAATCCACCATAAAAATTCAGTGCGGAATTGATAACTTCAAAAAAACTTCAAATGTCTCTGTGTATGAATCAGTTATAACAAATTTTGTATCAAAGATGAGAAAAAAGAACACAGGATGGGTTGCACTTGGGATACTATTGTCTGACACTATAAGATGATGCAAATCCAAAATGTTAATCTAAAAACACAAGTCAGGTTCTCAAAAAGCTTCACCAAAGCCAGACTCATATAGATGTAATGTATGGCATCTAACTCATTCAGAAATGTGTAAACTATTATTTGTATACAACTGTTTTCTTCAAATCAGAGATTAAAAAAAGTTTCTTAAATCTTAAAGATGATAATCCATCATTATATTTTTTCACTTCAGGCTGCTTTACTTAGATCTCAGAGAATGTCAGTTTCGATTTTGCAATAAAAAACAATAAAATGGATTACAAAGGAGTTACATATTAATAATGAAAATTCTTCCTTTAAAGAAATTTAGAAAAGTTAAATGTTATTTACACAGCCTTACTACTAGAATAAAAAATATGATGCAAAGAAATCTGAAGAATGTTGATGGTAAAATTAGTTGTTTCCTTATAAGGAAGCATTCATTGACTGTGATAGCTTGTACTACTTCCATTATAAATTTATAAAATCTTTCTCTTAAAACAATTTTTAGAAAAATAGGCTTCTCAAATCTAGCTATTATCACTCTTCCAGTATTGGTGGGGGTCTCATTCCTAACCTTTTATTTGAAGTAATATGGAACATCAACATTTTGATTATGTTATTTTCTCTTTGATTTATATGTTCCATTTTAGCTGTTGCTGCAAGTCCCCAAGTGATTTGGTTTCTCTTATTTGGTACAGTTCTTTGTGATTCTGTTGCACCAGTCCACAATGTTCAAAGAATGATAGTTTTACCAAGATCTGCAGACTTCATTCACTGAAAGCTATTTTTGAGCATTGATCTGAGAAAGTGATTATATACAGCTAGCAGTATAGATATTTCTGAACGGGTTTGGCACCATGCAAGCCATCCATATGAAAGTCTCTATCTGATGAGGCTATTTAAGATGATGACTAATTTTTAGGTTAATGCTTTGTAGCAATTGGCAGTGTTGGGCAAAACTACTCCTAGCATGCATAGCCTAATCCTATGTTCAGTTTTCTTCTCTCCTATTAAGATATGATTTAACTTGGTTACTGGTTGTTTCACTTTTGTTAAATCATTAAAGATATCATCCTGTCCTGGATATGACGATAACCTACATCTGACAGCAAGGCTTCTGATCAGGAGGCTTTGAGGAGCATGGAACCACCTCTTAATTTCTGGTGTTCCCAGGTCCACCCTGACCTGTGGTGATATCACCTGTTAGGTCCCAGCTATAGGCAAATAGTTGACCCCCCCCTTCCCAAACTGGGGTCAAAACACTATGAAAGTGTAAAAATAAGTTTTAATACCAGAAATACTTTAAAAAAATTATTACCAGCAATACATTTTTAGGGGAAAAAAAAAAATGTAAGTTTTGTTGGCATTAAATAACCCATTGAGGTTGATATGCTATAAAATAAACTAAACCAAACCAAAGATATTGTCCATGTTAGACAGGTTTGAAAGTTCAAATTTTATTAGGAGGTTACTTTTTACTTCAGGATTTTTTAAGCTTTATTTTTAGGAGAAACCTATGACTTTTTGTACATTAGTTAATATGAAATTTACATTCATTAGTAACTCAGTCATAATAGCTGAGAAGATATTAAAAATACAAGCCATACAAAACAAAAAACCTTAAAAGTTCTATTTTTTCTTTTTATTTCATTGATATTTGTAACTTTTTTCAAGTTTATTAATTCATTTTTGCTTCTGTATAAACATTTGAGTCTTTATACTGTAATTTTTGGACAATATGTTTTCTCATTTTAAGCTTGTATTGATCTTCAAGGACAAAAACTAAGTACAAAAATGAAATGGTTGTCATTTTAAAATATTTTTTCTTTACATACTTAACATCAGATTACCCTTTTAATTTTTCATTGTCTTTATGCTCTTTGCATTCAAGGTTGCCTTAAGTGCTTTGATTTTACAAAAAGCTATTGGAAAAGAAGTGGATAAAACCCTGTCAGAGTACAGCTATATAGTAAGTATACAACACCTTCTTGTGAGTAATTTTTTTCTGATTGCATGGGGAAGTAACTCATAAATACTTACCTCATTACAGCACTGTTTAGTTTTTTATATACAGAACCTGTCCTGATTAGCTATAAATTACTACATGATATACAATATGACTGAGCCATGTGAATCAAATTAGCCTTATATCATTTGGTCTGGCAGAAACCCTTTTTATTTACGTTTTTTAATAAGAGTTTGCATCAAAGACTATTAATAACTCAGTTATATAACAAATTCAAGATTTTGTTTAAAAAAAAAAAAAAAATGAGTGAAAATAAAAAATTGGGTTATCACTACTTCTGTTGTAACAGTTGAATAAACATAGGTATTCACTGGTATGTGTCAGGCTGTCTGTCCACACTATATCTTAAAAAAGTTCTCTATGAATTTCAACAATGATATTTGTGGAAGGTTGGGTTATGGTCCAAAAAGCAAGTGCTTGAATTTGAAGTAGATTTAAAAATACTTTTAGAGAGCTATTTCACATATTAAAGATATATCTAAAATATATGGGGAAAATTCCCACTTACACTGTATGTTATTTATGACCTAAATTTAATTCAGGTTTTAGAAAGATTGCCAATGACAGTAGTATATACACTCAGAGGTATTTCTATTTGTATTTTACTGCAGTGTTTTAGTGAACCTTTCTGAACATTTTCTTAATGTTTTATCCATTGAATAGAATCACAGACAATACTGTCTATAAGCTTCCATGTCTTTCTGCTTAGAGAGTTTGAAATTTGTTCTAAAATTAAGTTTCATGGTGGGGAACGTGAGAGAATTTATAATCTAATTATAGAATAATTGTCAATTCAAAAAGTGCAAATGATTTTTTTTTTCTTTCAAAACTGAATGAATTGGTTCAAGTATTCTCAATAAATACAATACGCCTACCAGGTTACTCAGTAGAAAGTTACTTTTCTTGTAACAGTAGAACAATCCTTGTTTCCATGTTTGCCTTTTATTTACAATTTGGTTATTTCAGTCTTTAACAGCAGCATAAAAAGACTGTCACTTGAAGTTCACTCATAGAATGGTAATGAGGGAAATACATGTCTGTCATCAATGGCTTAAAACAAAATTGGGCATGAATAAATGTGTGTGCAAACTCCTTTCTCATGACTACCTCATATGCTCAGTCAATAGCAATTGAAACCTGTTACTTTCATAATCAACCTTGACAGAATATAATCACAAGATATTAATAATTTATATATATATATATATATATATGTATATAAATAAAAAGAAAGAACAGTAAGATATAAAATCCGGTGTTCTTATAGATATTTTATTTTTACAAAATAGTGCTCAATGTAAATTTACAGAGCATTAATATTATAAATTAATTGAAAATTAGCGAAAATAACCATATTTTAAATCAATTAATTTATAATATATATATATATATATATATATATATATATATATATATATAATCTAACAGTGCAACAATGCATTTACTTTACATAAATATTTTTGAACATAATTGCTTTCTTTAGCAGTGAAAGAATCCATTTCCTTCTCTCCCCTCAGCTATGGATTAAATATGACTTGCATCTGGAAAAATCATTGTTATTCTTGGTATTCCTACAACCAAAAATGTTTCTAGGATTGATAATCTATTTTAAAAAATAAAAAAGGAATCAGTGCACTTAATTCAGTCATGACATAGATTAAACATTATACAGTGAAAATTTCAGATCAAAATTCAGCTGCTAAGTTACAGTACAGAAGAAAATGGTGAAATACCTTGTCAGCCAAAGCACTTTTGTGTTGCATGCTGTTTTGTGTAAGAAAAAAAAAATGCCTCTCTTCTGGATGGAGTTAGCAAACATGCAGATCTATTTCACTCCTAACCATTCATAAACGTCATTGCAAGAGCAAGTATCTCTGAGTTGTATAGTCTGCTTTAAAGAAAATTCAAATCCATTTCACTTCTGAGACTACTTTAAAACTATTGTTTGCTGTCTTTTTTTGTTTTTTGTTTTTTTTTGTTTTTTGATCATAGGGTAGTAGTAGCCCCCGCACCCTTGGGTTGATAGCTACAATTTTTATCACTCAAATTTTGTCTTTGTCTTTTGACAGAGCACAAAAATAAATGAGGGATGCCTGGTAGCACCTCCCTCATTGCATCAAAGAGGGTGGGTCAGTGGAATATCAATGCTACCACAACAGTAGTTTCAGAGACTGAATAATTTAGGGCCTTAGCTCAGGTGCACATGCTTCATCTCCACACTTTAAACTGGCCTTGTGCCACATCACACTTTAAACTGGCCTTGTGCTACATCCTGCTACCATAGGGTGGGGGCAAGTAAATACTAGTAGTAACCCTCTTTGGATGTCAGTGAGTGAGGGAAGCACACTACATACTTTTTCAAGACTTTGATTTATGACGTATAAATTCTGTTTGTTACTTTTAAAGTTACAGACATGATTCATTTTCATACATATGAATCTAATATTGTTCATATAATGAACACCTTAATGATTAAGTAATGAAATATTTGAATGCGTGTGCTGTATAATGGCTGTCATTGTGGAAAATGGTATCAACATGCAGAGTTCAAATTCTGACCAAGTCTGTTGTTCGCTTTTGCACTAACATCCTTGAGAAAGTAATCATTTCTTCTTTCCTCTCCCAAGCTATAGGTTAAATAGCTGGGCTCTCATGCTTGGTAGTAGATAAAGGAAAACTCTGAATTCGACAAAAGAAAACTACTGCACTAGCTTTTTCAAAAAGTCATAGCAAGTCACAGATAATAGAGAAAAGGAAAAGTGGAGAGCCATGATTGTTTACATTCGGAAACAAATTGGCATTCTAATATGTAATATTTAATAATACATATTAGAATAAATATTGTATTTATTAAGATATTAAAAATTGAAATATAAATATATTTAGATTTTCAAATATAATAATGTTAATTATTTATTTGCTTTTTTATTTTTTAGGTATTAAATATGACTGTACTTGTCTCCTTGTTCACCCTGCCTCTGGGTGTTGCTTTTATTGCTTGGGCTGGTCCATGTCTTCTCCACCAAAGGATTAAGTTTAGGAGAAATTCTTCAGCCTCCAGACATTCTACCAGCAGAAGCAGATTTTTGTCAGAAGGCAAAGAACTGTTAGAGAAAGACTGTAAGCTTGAAGAATCTCTCTTTGAAGAGCAGACCGATACAAAACTTTAAGTCTAGGTCCATTAATGGAAAATTTTACAGACTTCATATTAGTCGGTAAGTGAGTTTTGGTAACAAATAGCACTATGATTAACTTAAGAAATATTGAAATCTAAAGAACTAAACTGAAAGCTGCTGTTGTTAATTTTTCAGGTTTTTATACTGAGAGAAAAGGTCAAAAGTTATTTAGAGCAACAAAAGGCAAGAAGTTGTGGAGAGTAATGATCACCGCATCTGGAAAGGAGATAGCATATGAAAGATGATGAGATTGAGAGAAAAAATATCAAAGAAACAAATGATTCCAACATGCAAAAAGAAAGAAAAAATTCTTTTGAAATTTAAGTCATTTTGTTGATCAGGATTTTAATATGCTTTAATTATTGAACTAAAGGTGAGAACTACAATTGTGAATATCAAATGCCACATGTTAATTACTTACCAGAGGACTGAGCACTGTAATAAACTTCCTTTCAGAATTGTTTTCTTTGTATTGAAATCCTCTATAAGTACCTGAGCAATTATCCAATAGATTTTTCATGAATCTTTCATTTTAAATTTTGAAAAAGAAAAATTAAAAAGATCAATCTAAGTCAATTAGTGCTGAACTTTTGTCTTTCTCACATACATTTGTCTACATCATTTGAAAGGGAATGGCATCATGTTGTTCAGCTTTTTTGAAATTCAACCTCAAAGTGATACATATTTAACTAACAGAAAAATTATTCTTTAAATAATTTTAACTTTATTTTAATCATTGCACCCCAAGCAAGGCAATAAAGCAACTAGGATGAAAGGGGTTACTTGACTAAGACAATATGAGAAAAAGAAAAAATTAAGGAAAGAGAACTATAAAAAAAAAAAGAAAAAAGAAAAAACAGAAATTAAGATGGAGGATAATGATTAATATTGCATGAATCATTTAACTGGGAAGCAAGAAACCAGAATAGTTCTAAAAGCAGGAAGTGCAAAAGAAGAAACTCTTTAGCATAGAACTTACAGTTACATCTCGCAATTTCAGTTGTAAAATCATGAGATTTTGCCACCAATCTAGTACTCCAAAATAAAAATGTACAATTTACAAAAACTATAGACTACGCTGTTTGAAAGCTTTTTTTTTTTCTTGAAAACTTTTACCTATAAAAGATATACTTGTTAAAAGAGCATTATTTATCAATAAACTCATTAAAGACAATATTAATTGTGAAAAATTTCTGTCTTGTCATTCTTTTTTAATACTTAGATTTTGTGCACTGATCACACATCAATACTAATGCAAAAGAGACCTTGGATTGCATAGGAACATGATTGTCAACAGCAGTTTCATTCGGGTTTTTCCCATTAGCAGTGGGACAGTTTGGCATGTCTATCTAGATATGGGCCTCTCTGTAACTGGTCAAAATCCAGGTCTTTGCAAGATACCACCTGCCAATAAAAGTTGGGGGGGAACAACAGTTGGCAAGACACTGTGTCATGTGAAGTCAGTCCTGTTGGCATTTTGTTTCTCAAGCTGATGTGTTTTCCAAGGCAGTGTTATTTTTTTGTTACTTCTCGTCTCTTTCCCCCCTCTCCCTATTATCCCCATTGTTGCTGGGAGAACAATCAGTTAGGTGCCCAAACGCCCCCCCCCCAAACAATCTCAACACACTTTGGTTACATTGCAACATTTTGGTTGAGTAAAAAAATTATTAGGGATTAGATGTTGAACTCCTCTGCTTTGGTTGGCAGCCAGTCTAGTAGAAGAAAAACTCTGAATTTCCAACCCAGGTTGTCTAAGGGAAGGAAAAATCCCGATAGAAAACCAACCCTTCCTCAGATTATAGAGCTTACAGCCATATCACATTGAAACACAGGTTCTTGTACGATCATCAAAGTTAAGCAATGTTGGGTGACCATTTGGTAATACCAGGTGCTGTAAGCTTGGATGTGCAGTTGGTGTAATGGATGACGACTTGGAATTGAAAATCAGAATTGTGTTACAATTCATTCATATTAGTTATATTCACTCACACACCAAAATACCCTTGGGAAAAGTATGAATTCACGTCCCCCCAGCTGTGGCTTAATTAGTAGGACTTATATCAGTAAATCATTACTATATCTCAAAAATTCTTTTCTAAAAATGTTTTCTGGCTTTAAATAACCTACAAAAGGTTAAGAAGTAAAAAAAAAAAAAATCAATCAATCTCAGAGTTTAGGCATAGAGCCAATTATCACACCTGTGGAACAATTTGATTACAGAAACCTCATCAGAGATCTTATGTGCCAAGAGGCATGCCAGGCAGATAGCACACCTGCATAAATACTGCCATTGGGAAATCTATTTCATTGCTTTAAAACCACTCTTTGCAATTTTCTTGTTAGATTTGGTTCCTAAGAAAAGTGTTTGACAAAAGTTTGCCTTTATAACATCCCATGAAAACATGGAAAGTAAATAAAGAGAAAACCAACTGTCCTCTTAAAATCAACCTTAGATTAAGTAGAAAATATTTCTTATGGCAGATTTTTTTAATCATTTCATCCCAAGCAAGGCAATAATGCCACAAAGATGCAATGGGTTACTGAATGTTAGAGAATATGATTAAAAAAACACTATTAAGAAGAGAGAGGTAACAATTGACATTGTATTAAATTTTTGAAGATCAATGTTCACTGGGAAGCAAAGAAGCCAGAAACATTCCAGAAGTGTGATAGAAGAAACTGTTTGCATAGAACTTATGGTTACATCTAGCTATTTCAACTGAAAAATGATAAGACCTTGCTGCCAATCTAGTACCATTCATAAATTCTAGATCCTTAATCAATCCTCTCTAGAAAATGGCACACCATATTCTCTGTGGAATGAACCCCAGGTCATTGAAAAGATGTATCTCTGGAGAGTGAGGCAATTGAAAAAAATGATATATTGGCTTGTTGACTAGGCTCATAACTTTTGGCACATTAACTCTTCTTTTTCTGTTGAATTTCTGGAATGAGGAATTATCATTATGTTTACTATTCTCCTCCTCTTCAATGTTATCACAATGTTTTGGCCATTGTGCCATCCAGCATTCATCAGATGTATATTAACCTGGGTAACCTACAGGGAATTCTAAACTGAACCCTTTATTTAATCTAGAAAGGGTACACTGTTATTCCACTGCTCATGTCTAGAGATACCTCATCTAGTTCTTATTTTTAGTACTGTTAGTTATTGCTCACTCTGTTTACACTAACTCCAATTACATACCGCCCGGCTCAGGGATTAAACTCACAATTAATGTCACAAAGTTCACTATGCTTTAATCTACTAGGCTAGTGTGTACTTCGACTGTAGAAACAGAGCAAGCAATAACTGAGCAGTACTAAAAATAAGAACTAGACAGGATATCCCTAAACATGGGTAGGGGAACAAGTATATCTCCGTAGATTAAATAATGGGTTCGTTTCAGAAGGGAGAGTATGTTGATGGAGATAAAAAAAAAAAATGTTTCTCTATGATGATTAAAGTGGAGCAGGGTTTTTTTTTTTTTTTTTTTTTTTTTTTTTTTTGAGGTGTTGAAATTGATTGGAGATTTTGCCTGGTGAATGTATCAGCCTCACTTCCTTAAATATCTGTGTATATCTCTGAGATGAGGTATTAGGATTACTTAGATTATGATTATTTACATTATTCAGACTGTTATCCTCATCGCTATATTCTCGTCCTGGGTATGATGATAAACTACGTCCAGCAATGAGGCCTCTGATCAGGAGGTTTTGAGGAATGTAGAACCACCTCTTAATTGCTGATGTCCCCAAGCCCACCCTGACCCGGGGTGGTAGCACCTGTTAGGGTCCCTTACCAGCAATAAATTTTTTGAAGGAAAAATTATTACCAGCAAAACATTTTTGAAAAAAATATATTACAATAAAAATTTTCAGCATTAAATAACCCATTGAGGTTGACATGCCATAAACCAAACCAAACCATTGCCATATTCACAACATTTCACCTGTTGTACACTTCGACCTTTTTCATGTGATTGGAATTTTGAAGCAAACCCTTTTTGTCCACTGGGCTAGATTGTTCTAGTTCCATGTGTCATGCCTCATCCGGATGTCTCAGTTATTTCCCTTTAACTCAACTGCATGGCATGTGGAACTAGAACAATCTACCCTGGTGGACAAAATAAAGGGTTCGGTTCAAAATTTCAATCATCTGAAGAAGGTCGGATCGTACAATGGCTGAAATGTTATGAAGATGAGGATAACAGTCTGAATAAATATATAACAGATGATAAAAAATAGGTTATATACAACAATGATCATGTTCAACATAAGTGACAGTGGATTAACAAGGGTAAAATGTTGCGCATCTGATGGGATCATCAGGGTAAGATTCATTTAGAGTTCTTAAAACATAATGAAATATTAAATGTACATTTATATGTGCAGCAGCTGCAATGTTCACTTGTGAAGCATCCTGCACTCGTCCATAGGAAAAATGTTTTCTTCCATGACACCATAAAGCATGCACACACAAGAATAGCTCAGGAAAATAGTCAGTATGTTACATCTCATGCAGAATACTCACCTGACCTTACACCAACTGATTATTACCTTTTTCAATTGGTGTAAAGCACTCCAAAAAAAAAAAAAAATATTTAATAAATCAAATTGAAAAGTTCATTTGAAAACTTTTGACATCAAAACCTCAGAAGGTATCAAAGAGCTACTTAATAACAGGAAGTCAAGTCCTTGCAAAAATAATAGGATCTGTGAATTAACAAAAGGGAAATTATTGACAACTCAACATTATACCTGTGCATTCATTTTTTTTTTTTTTGCCCAGATTTGCAAATAATGAATAAATTTGTAGTTATATATATAAATAAAAAATAATGGTTATAAAAATGCAAACATTAACTATAGAGACAATTGCACTGGCCAAAAGAAAAAAACAGGAAAAGAAAAATCATTTGGTATACCCCTCCATTCAACCAAATGGTTAGTATTAAACTAGGACAGAAATTCTTAGCTCTAATTGATAAACA